GACCCTAAAGCTCTTTGGGGAAGAAATAGGAATTCAGTTCTTTGTATGTTTCATTGGATTTCCTTCTAAAATCAAGATCCTTTTACAGGACTTAAGGAAGTTACAGGATGAAATGATAGCCCGTGGATCAAATTAACTCCAGTCGTATATTAGAATTAAGTCCCTTTACGTTCAAAATTCTCCTGCTCCAGTGGGGAAAAAATAAATGTGCATTTGGGCTGCAGGCTGAAAACAGCAGAAGCCAGCTGAGGTCAGCGGATCAACTCAAGGAAAACAGCCCAGTCTGAGGACTATCAAATCCAGGCAATGGCAGAGTTCTCAATCAAGGACAGAAAACTCTTTGTGGCCACCTAGTGGTCATCTGGATGTTTGCAGCCCAGTTTTACCTGAAATATGCTATTTTGCAAAAAAAAAAGATCTCTAAAGTACTGCCAAATAAAAGGCCTGCTAGTAATCAGTGCCTCTGTTTACGGTCCTCTGTCTTGCCTGTTTTCCTTGAAGGAAAGGAAAAGTAGCAGCATTAATTCTCCTGGCATTTTTCATATCCCTTTAACCAGGGCAATTCCTGCCCTTTAGACAGACAGACAGACAGACACACACACACACACACACACTTGGAAGGGACCTTGCAGGTCATCTAGTCCAACCCCCTGCCCAGGCCCTTTCTTGCCTGGTTTTGAACATACAGTATATTTAAGAAGTTGTGATTTTTCACAATGGTTGTGACATTATTTCTCACTACTTGACCTACAAGAGACCTTTTTTTTTTAAATGATCAGACCCACAAGCCAATGGTCACAATGCTGGATTAACCTGGGTTAATATCTGGATAGCAGAAGAATTGTATTTTCTTTCCTTTAAATAATAATAATAATAGACATCCCTCATTGTTCACCTTACATGGTGATTAAATCAGTCTGGCGAGGAAGCAGTGGCTTAGATAGAGAGGCACATCTTTGATAAATAATAGACAGCAGGAAAAAAATCCTCTAGAATTTAGGCCAAGCTTGGCTAATCCCGAAATTGGAAGAAGTGAAACAGATTAGCTGAGTTGGAAGTGACTTTATAGGTCATCTAGTCCAACCCCTCCTCAAGCAGGAGACCCTTCACCATTTCTGACAAAGGGCAGTCCAATCTCTTTTTGAAAGTCTCAAGCGATGGAGCCCCCCCCCCCCACAAACGATCCGGTTTTAATGCTCTCACTCAAATGCCCGCAGCAGAAGCAGACCTCCAAGGACACACCCCCAGTCGTCCAAAACGCCCTCCCCCCCTAATGAATGGGGTGGCTTTACATTCAGAAAAGGGAAAGTTTCCTTCCCGTCCAGTTCGCCGCCTGCCTTTACAAGCTCCACTTCCAGGTCTCCTAAGCGCAACTTTACCATACCTGCCAGCCAAGGAACCTCGCGGAACTTCTCAACCAAGTCGGAGCAGGATCGGGCTTCGGAAGCGAAGCTCTACACACACACACACACACAAACAAACACACACACACCACTCGGCGCCGTCCCACGCGGTCCCCTCCGCGCGGACAGCCGTCCATCACGCCTCCTCCCCCACCCGGACCCCTGAAACCTTAAGCGCGCGCGCTCCCTCCTTCTTTTCCCCATCTTTCTCGCCCGGTTCAAGAGCCGCGGGAAGCGTCGCCTCCGCTGCGGCACCAGGCGCAAGAAGCCGCGGGGATGCAGCGCCACGTCCTGCGGATCTTTCCCGGGGAAAGAAAGGAGGGGAAGCCGCGCCCGGGACAGGGAGCGCTCGAAAGCACTTTCTCCCTTTTCGTTTCANAGACACAACAACATTCAGTAGGCTGGACTTCAGCTCCAATTTCCCTCTTAGGTAGGATATGAACCAAAGTATTACATTTTAGGATATGAATGGAATGAAATCTTTTGAAACTTTTTACCACCTAACTTTGGTCTTCTGCAAATGATCATTCTTCATCCTAGCCATAAAAGCTATAGGTAGGAAGCAGTAGTGGGCTTGTACCGGTTTTACTACCAGTTGCTCGTGGACGCGCAATGCTTCTGCGCATTCGCAGAAGTGTCTGGGTGGGTGGGCGGAGCCTCCTGCCGTCGCCACTACCAGTTCAGCTGAACTGGGCCGAACCAGGAGCAACCCACTTGTTGGTAGGAAGAAGTCTCTTGCTCCTCATTCTGGGTAAACAGCCCAGCCCTGTGTATCTATTAGCAGCCTTCCCCAAAATGGTACCCGCTCCCAAACAAGCTGGGAAATTGTGAAGTCTCATAATTACTGTTGGATTAGTTCAGCTACTAAGAAAATAGAGACGGTGAAATAGCACTGGGATTTTGAGCTGATGACTGTATTTTAGCATCCGGAACTTCTAGAATACAAACAGTAGGTGAGTGAAGCTGATAACAGAGGAGTTAATTAAAGTAGAGACGCACCAGTGTTTTTGTATGTTAAAGATCAGTATATGAATTTAGAATAGAATGAGCTGGAAGGGACCTTGGAGGTCTTCTAGTCCAGCCCCCTGCTGAAGCAGGAGAACCTATACCATTTCAGACAAGTGACTATCTGGTCTCCTCTTAATGATATCCAGTGATGGAGCGCCCACGATTTCTGGAGGCAAGCTGTTCCACTGGTTAATCGTCCTCACTGTTAGGAAGTTTCTCCTTACTTCCAGATTGCTTCTCTCTTCAATTTTAGTTTCCAATGAACTTAGGAGGTGTTGAAAAACCTGGGCTGGAAGTAGCACAGTTTGCATGCACTACTGAAGGTGAGACATTCTGCAAAAATTCCGGCACTTTAACTAGATCTTAAAAACAAGTTTTCCCTTTTAATTTTCTTCCACAAGACATGTTTGCCTCAGGATGCTTCCGGCCATGAGCAGACCAAAGCTGCAAATTTATCTAGTGACACCTCGCTGGGCTTATGTTCATGGCTCCTTCTGCTTTTACAAGGAAGGAGGAGAATGGCCTGTACAGTTAAAAAGCCTTCAAAGTCATTTTTTTCAAGTAATCATATGCATTCTTTGGCTTGTCCCTGTCTGTCAGGGAACACCAAACCTTTCCTATTTATTGTCAGGATCCGTCCCAAACTCTGCAGCCATCAGATTTTATGGTTTCCTGTCTTGTGAGATAGGCAGCCAAAGACAACCTTTTGTATCTACACTCAAAAAAGAAAACTTCACACCACCTTCTCATTGATGGTCCATGCTGTAAAGTTACAATGCGGAGATAGCATACACAGTATCTAGATGCAATTGTGAGTTGCTAGAATGGGGGTAGCACAAAGCAAGGAGATTTAAAAGCCTATCTCTTCTAGAAATGCTTGGGCAGCCCTGGGCCAGGAACTAAAAGAACCGAGAACCAGGGGTTTGCAATGCTACTGTTTCAAGCACAAGTGCTGTGTTTGTGTGTGTGTGTGTTTGTGTGTGTGTGTGTGTGAGAGAGAGAGAGAGAGAGAGAGAGAGACAGAGACAGAGACAGAGACAGAGAGAGAATATCACCCTTCTCCAGCCTTATGCCCTCCAGAACTCTAATTCTGCAGATACCCTGGGAATCTGCAACCTATCCAAAAGCATTATTTTGATGGAGGAGCAATGTTTTCTAAACTTGGCGACTTTAAGAGGTATGGACTTCAACTTCCAGAATTCTCTGGCCTGGCCTCTTTCAGGGACTTCAAGTCTATATATCTTAAAAGTCGTCACGTTTGAAAAAAACTGCTGTAAACCAACGAAAATAAACCCCCAGGAAGGAGAGGGCCCCCCACAGGCAAAGCAACAAAAGTGTGTAAATTTAAAAGGTTCAAGCTTCCACCATTACAAGCGTTACGATTCCTCTCCGTTTTGCAAAGAAACTCAGTCCTTGCTCAAAAGGGTTAAGAAAAGTTAAGAACCTGCTTCTATGTCAATAAACTGTTACGTCTCTGCCTGGGGTAGATGCAATTCTAGCTGATATTTGATGCAGTATTGGAGAAGCAGAAAAGGCATTTCTTGAGAGTTTAAATTATTATTGTCTTCGTGTCATTTCCACAGTAAGATGTCCGATGCCTGAAATTTGAGCAATAGTTCCACCTAGCATGACTATTAAATAAAAGACTAGATTGCTCAATAGGCTTATCATTTGCTCAGCCAGCAAAATGGAACGCCAATAAGGTTCAAATACAGATCAAAGCTGGAGTTAACAGTTGGGGGCAGCCATTCATACTCCTCTACCCTATCCCATTCTTTCTTTCTTATGGTCATTTATTCCTAAATCAGGTTATCTGAGGTGGCACAGTTTATTTTATCCTTTTAAGGAACCAGCTGCCTACTTCAAAATTGGAGTTTCGTTGCTATCCTTCCCCACCCTCTCAATTTTTGCTATATTCTGGGAGGTGGCTGGGATATAAATAAGACCCTGCATTTGAAAAAAAAAGCCAGTGTTTCAGATCAACCCTCTTTAAGTGTATATAAGAAAGCATATTTATAAATGCACAAAGGGATTTTCTTTTAGCACAAGTCCTATTTTACATTCCAGAATCCCTTTAAACCCTGCACTGTTCTCATACTCCGTTTCCCCCCTCTATCATTAACGGCAACTTCAAAATAGAGCTTTAAAATACCAGGCTCGATACAAATTATAATATGATTCCAGTTAATTACAAGCCAGCTCTTTGGAACCAGAGCAAACAGCACCCTATACACAATGCATCCACTGTACTGAGTAACAGCTGCTCAACATACATAGTAACTATCAGCAATTAAGGGACATTCTCATCCATCATCAGTTTTCACCAAAATTGTCTCTAGATTATCTTGTCAGAATGGCTTGGCTTCATACTGACTGGACCACCTCAAAGCATCTGCCCTTAAACTACTCCCAGGAAAACATGAAATGGAAAATGAGGGGGTTCTACTTAGGTCAGGCTAGAGATTAAATTGAGGAGAGGGAATTAAAAGACGTTGCATTTTTTTTCTTCACTTTGCTCATTCTTTCCACTGAGGGAAAACTCTTCCTGTAGGGGTGGAATAAATATTTATCAACCAAATTGATATATTTATAGTGGAAGACTCAAACAAATTCAACCAAAGCAATGCCTTGGTTATTTAAATGCTCNAATCCAGAATCCAGAGGAGGAATAGGATAGGGATGGGAGTGGGAACGAAGGGGGGTGAGGTAGGGTAGGAGATGGGGCCCGGGAAGCTCAGAAAAACTTTCCCGACCGGGAGAGAAAGGCAGCGCCTTCCCTTCCCTCCTTCCAGTACTCCAGTTTATGGCACGAAAGCATCCGCGAGAAGCGGGGCGCAAAAGCAAACCGAACGCGCGTTGTTTGTTTATTTGTTTGCTTCTTCCTCCCTTCTCCCCTCGCGTTCCCACCGCCGGCCCGAGATGCGCTGACTTACTTGCGTGGCAAAGTCCCAGGTTGCCCAGGGCTACCAGAAGCAGGGTGATCACCCCGGGGCCAGGCGCTCCTCGGCTCCAGGCAGAAGGCATCGCGGCCGGCTAAGGCGGTGGCGGCGGCGGCGCCTCCCTCGCTCTTCCTCTCGAACGGTCTCCAGAGACGCTCTCCTCTCCGAAGGAGACTCCAGCCTCCCCACGCCAAGCCCCCCCTCGCGCCTCTTCCTCTCCCGCCTCCTCCTCTTCTTCCTCCTCCGGCAACTTTTAAGCCAGCCAAGCCGCGGGAGGCGAGTTGGGGCACCAGCGGGTCCTCTCCTTGGCCGCCTCGGTGCCAGGCTGCGGCGCTCCTCTTGACTCTGCCAACTTGGGACCCGCAGCAGAGGCGGCGGATCAGAGAGGCAGGCGCGGCAGCCGGACTGCTTGCATCCCTCGGCTGCAAGGGCTTCCCCTTTCCTCGCTTGGCCGGACCCGCCGCAGCTCTCCTCCGCGAGCCCCTTTCTTGCCTCCGCTCGCCAGCCAGCCTCCTGCCACACTGCCAAGGTGTCCCGCACGCAGAGCAGCCCAGGAGCCAGAGGAACTGGAGCCGGGGCTCCACTGGGGAGGACCGAGACGGGCGGAGCGAAGGAGCCGGCGGAGCCAAAGAGGGGGGACGGGAGGGAGTTCTCGACGGCCTACGCAACTACAGAGCCGGGCAGGGCTGGGCGGAAAACGCGGAGGCCCGGCCCGATTCCCAATCTTCGGAGCTGGAGTCTCTCGCCGCGCTGTCTCGACGATCATCGAGCAGCTCGACCGCCCGTTTGCCGCCGTTTGTTCCTGCCAGTCGTTTCCCCACGCTTGGACTCTGCCCACATCTAATGCATGGCAGCTTTTACGAAACGGGGCCGAATAAAGGGCATAGAATACAATTCTCTATTGAGAGTAGAGTAGANGTCCTTCTGTTCTTTAGACTGCCCATGTCCAATTCTTTTGCAACCATTCTTCATATGTTTTAATCATTTTAGCTGCTCTTCTTGGCACTTTTTCAAAAATCTCAACATCTTTTTTTTTTGTAATGTGGTGACCAAAACTGTATGCAGTCTTTCAGGTGTGGCTTTACTAAGGCTTTATAGAGCGGTACTAATACTTCATGTGATTTTGATTCTATGCCTCTGTTTATACCACCAAGGATTATATTAGCTTTTTTGGTTGCTGCCACACTGCCCCAAAATCTCATGATATCCAGCTATTCAGAGTCCCTCTGTGAGGGAGACGGGAAGTTCCTAAGCGCATTAAAAATAAATATCCTTATTTATATTCGGACTCCATCGCATCTGCAGTCTACTCGGGCTCTACTGCAAGTTCACCATTTCTCTGAATAGGTGCGATCCCGCTATGAATCCTAAGCAACAACTAATACTGTTCAGAAACGTACTCTATGCAGTCCTGGCTCTTCTGTCCAGCTGAGTAGTAAATTGGATGGGCGACAAAGTGATTTGACTCTTAGATTGAGAATTGTCGCTCTCCCTATAGTGCGAGTTTTAGCTGTTTTTCCAGCACACACAACAGGAAGTCACTACTAGTCAGAAAAAAATAAATCCAATTGAAGAGTTGATTCAATTGCTGAATGTTGAAAGAGGAGTGGTGTCATCACAATCATAATATTTTGGGTCCTTGAGTGTTACAGTTTGTGGGATAATATTGCAATGGAGAACTGTGACAAAGAAGTACCTGCTATCCAGATCAGCCTATCTCCGTGACGGGGAATCCATGGCACATGCCATCATTAAGGTCACACGATCAAAATTCAATGCTTGGTAAGTGCTTCATATTTATGACCGTTGCTATGCCCCCGGAGTTATGTGATCACCTTTTGTGACCTTCTGACAAGCAAAGTCAATGGGGAAGCTACATTCACTTAACAACCATGTTACTCACTTAACAAATGCAATGATTCGCTGAACAGCTATGGCAAGCAAAATGGGGCAAAACTCACTTAACAAATGTTTCACTTAGCAACAGAAATATTGGGCTCAATTGTGGTCGTAACTCAAAGACTACCTGTATTAGACAAATCAAAGAGGTGGTGTTAAGAAAAAAGGCTGGTGGGGAGGGTATCTGCCATTGAAACACCAGAGGGCATTTCCACATCACTCCAAAATGTGTAAAACAGTTTAGAACAGGATTGACCAATCTTGACAAGACCTGTTGACTTCTATTCCCAGAATTCTCCAGTCAGCTAACATGACTGGCTGGGGAATTCTGGGAGTTGAAGTCCACAGGTCTTCAAGTTGCCAAGGTTGGACATCCTGGTTTATAACCCGACCCAAGAGAGTTGAATTGAGGTATAATGTGCATTCATTGCAGGTGGCTGCGGAATGTTGAAAGTCCATCAGCTGATTCAAGTGATCAATCTGGGTGTGCAAAAACTGATCTGCCCAACATCCCTGCCCCGTCCAAATTGCTCCTCAGTGAAGTCCATAGGCGTGTGTGTGTCCAAAAACAAAACACACCCAAGAAAGTGGCCTTGCCCTTATGACCAAAGCCCCACCTTTTTATTGCCGAAACTCTCTAACCTTGGGTCAAGTAAAAACAATGTCAGGTAGTGCAAGAAACCATCTCTCAACTAGCTCATACAGTTTACAATAGCAGAATCTTGCAAGTCTGAAGGTGTGCGCCTCTCTCCCACTCCGTCTCCTTCATGAACAGTAGGGAGTTCAAGACACTTTCTCAAATTACCATTCTGCCTCAGACTCAAAGTTCTTTTATCTGACTATTGTCTTGTTCGCGGCTCTTCCTCGGTGGTGGGGTTCAAATAATTTGACAACTGGTTCTCTGCCCTAATGACTGGCTGGGTAGGCGTGGCCGGATGGGCATGTGATTGGGTGGGCATGGCCAACTCGACATCACACATCACACCCAGCCTCACCTCCCAGTGGCTCATCTCAAAAGCCTCAACAAGGTACAATTTCCCTATTTATTTACTACTACTGAACATCCAAAACAGCACAAAAAGCACCCCGAAAAATGGCCCTGAAAATGGCCCCAAAATGCTCCCAAAACAGCTCAAAAATGGCCAAAAACGGCCCAAAGAATGGGGTGGGGTGGGGCCAGCCCATGGTGGGATTAGCCAGTTTGCTGAACTGGGCAGAATTTTAACAACCTGTTCACCTGAACCGGTCCAAACTGGCTGAATCCCACCTCTGCTGTTTCTCCTGTTCCTCAAGGTTATTCCTGCTTCCCATTCCATCAGAGCTGTGAGATGCCAGCATGGTAATAACAGCAAAGGGAGAAAGTCAAATACTCTGCAACAGAGATTTTTCCATGAAGGAAAGCAGGCTTCTCCCAAACTTTGCTGAGCTCTGTTCCTTCAACTGCAAAACGGGAGTCAACAGTTTCCTGCTGATCATTTTATTTATTTATTTATTTTATTTATTTATTTATTAGACTTATATACTGCTTCATAGGGCTTTCAGCCCTCTCTAAGCGGTTTACAATTTTTTTAGCAAANTTAGGGTTAGGTTTAGGGTTAGGTTTGGGGGGGTTAGGTTTAGATTTACGCGTTAATTTTAAGTTTACCGCTCACAGCATGCTGTTTTCGTCGCGCTGTGATGACATCACGTACGTGCTTTCGTTGAGCGCACTTTATTCTACCGCGGTTTTGTGGTGGAACCATCAAACTCAAGGCCTGCAGGCCAGATCCGGTCCACAGGTTGCTTAGATCTAACCCGCAGGGACACCCTGGAATCAGCGAAGGATCAGCCTGCAGTGCCTCTGCCAGCGAAAAAGGAGCGTGGAAGGTCCGCGTGCAGATTCCCCCCCCCCAGCTCCATTTTCACTGGCAGAGGGCTGCAGGAGGCCGTCACAGATGAAAATGGAGCGAGTGACATTGAGCTGGTCATGCCCACCCTGGCCATGCCACCCTGCCCGAGGTCAAACATCCCCTGATGCGGCCCTCAATGAAATTGAGTTTGACACCCCTGATCTAGAACAAATAACCAGAAAAGTCTCTTTATGTTGACCCAAACAAAGGTTATGGTGAGTTAAATTTAATTCCTGGTGACTATTTGCCTATATTCATCAGTCCTAGTTTTTTTTTGGGGGGGGGGGTAGTACAGAAGTCATGGTGATGCAGTGGTTAGAATGTAGTATTGCATACAAACTGCCCACTGGGAGGAGTTCAATCCTCACCGGTTCAAGGTTGACTAAGCCTTCCATCCTTCTGAGGTCAATAAAATGAGGACCATGTTGTTGGGGGCAATAGGCTGTAAACCGCTTAGAGCAGGGCTGGCCTGGAAATATCAGCCCTCAGTGTCTCTGCTGGCCAAAATGGGCCACCTGCAGCCCCCCTGTGGCCCGTTTTCGGCCTTCCTGGCCTTCTGCAGCACTCTGCCAGCCAAAAACAGGCCGCCTAGCAGCCTCGGGAGACCTCTGCACAGCCGTTTTTTGGCTGGCAGAGTGCAGCAGAAAGCCAGGGATGCCGAAAACAGGCCATGCAGAGGAGAACTACAATGCTGATCCAGCCCTCGAAGAAATCCAGTTTGACACCCCTGGCTTAGAGAGATCTGTAAAGCACTGCGAAGTGATATTTAAGTCTAAATGCTATTGCTACAGAAATGGCATACCCTTATCTTCCAGGTTATATTATTCTGAAGATGGCACACAGAGCCATTTCTGAGGGCAGGTGAGGCCTTGCCCTGTCAGCTTCAGCACGCATGTGTGCGATGGCCATCTCATTTCCGGCCTTGATTTTCAGCTGTTTTTCGCTCTCCGGAGGCTTCCCTGAAACCTGGGGAGGGCAAAAAACTACCCAACGCGCAAACCTGAACAGAACTGAGCCTCCGGAGGGAGAAAAACGGCCCAATGGGCAACCCAAAAGTCCGTTCCTGAACTTCCGGCTTGCGTGTTGGGCGTTTTTTCTCCCTCCCCAGGCTCCTAGAAAGCCTCTGGAGCCTGGGGAGGGCAAAAAACGAACCTACCAGGCCCACCGAAAGTCGGAAAACAGTTCCTTTCTGGCCTCTGGAGGGCCTCCAGAGGGCGGAAGTGGGGGAGGCCATTTTTGCCCTCTCCAGGATCCAAGAAAGCCGTGTGTGCTTGCGCGGGGCAGCGGCGGGGTATGTGTGTGTGTCATGCGCACATGTACAGGGTGCATGGTGGGGGGAGGCATTAAATTATGGGGGTGGGCATATGGGATAGCGTGCTTGTGCTTTTGGCACCCAAGGCGAAAAAG